ACTAGTTCGCCCATTGGCGAACTAGTCCTGTCCCGGCTAGATCGCCAATGGGCGAACTAAGAGGTACTGACTTTGCCCCACTGGTTCTTTTCGCCTAGTTCGCCATATGGCGACCTAGCCAAGCTGAACTAGCTCGCCGTACGTCGAGCCGACCATCCCGAGCCTCGATCTCCCGCATCCTCGATTCAAAACTTACGTCCTTCGACACGGTCGCATTCTGAACCATGGCCGAAACGTCTCCCGTTCCGTCTCGATCCGACCTATCATTCAAGTTTTACGATAAAAACCGTAAAAATTCGCTTTCTCGGAAAGAACTCGAGGAAATCGTATAAAACGGCAACGGTTAAACGAAACACCGAACATTGCCTAATCTACACGATTTATTCGAGATTTCTCGTTAAAATCATAAAAAACTCGTTTTAAATAAAAAACGTCGAGAGAATCGTAAAAAAACGGCATCGGATCAGGAAACGGTCTCGTTAAAGTCGTAAAACGGTTTTTATCGTAAAACGACCCGAAAGGTCCTAAAACACGATAAAAACCCATCTCGCGACGTTAACGAAATCAAACCCCAAGATACGATAACACTACAAGAAATATTGGTATTGATAGCACCCGAAAAACGCTATTATAGGGTTTTCGTAGCGTTTCGAAGAACGCCGTGACAGCCGCAGCTATGGTAGACCCCCCTTATATCATAGCGAATTTCGCGTGCTACAAAAAATTAGAGATATTATAGCATTTATGATTCGCTATATTAAATCATTTTAATAACATCATAATTTCGTTACTATATGATTTCCTATGACGTTTTTCATGTGCAATAACATAATTTTTAATGATATAGTTATAACGCTATAATTAAAAATAAAATAGTTAACAAAATTAATTTATTAAATTTTAATTAATTAACAGTAGATAATTAAAATAAAATAATTAAAACTAGAATTTCAAGTTAATTCATAAATAAAATTAAATTTTATTTATTTATTGATTAAAATCAGTATACAATAAAGAACACGTTAAGCCAAAACTAATTACAAACATTAAACCAAGCTATAATTAACCTAAGGTTTACAAATAAACCTGGCTTCTGAACCTGTTACTCATTAAACCAAAAATCTAATTAGATCTGAAGGTTAATGAACCAAAACCTAATTAACCAAAAGTTAATTAAATCTAAAACCTAAATCTAAGCCGCCACTCCCTCGCCGCCATCTCTATCAAGCTCCGACGTAGCCGTACCTCCTCCTCCATCGAGCTTCTATGCCTTCACCTTACTGTACCAAGAACAAACAAAAATGAATTTCAAAATACAGAGAGAGAGAGAGAAACAGAGAGTGCGCGGAGAGAGAGAGAGAGAGTTGACCAATGGTGGTGACGACGAGCGAAAGAGAGAGAGAGAGATAGAGAGTAGTTACCCGTGGTGGAGAACGTCATACGGACAAATCAGACCGGATCTTAAGGAGATTGACATACCAAATGACTCCAAATAACAACCCTAGATCTGTTACCCATCAAGTACTTGACGGTAGAAATAGCGGCTTGAATCCTGGTGCCATCGGTGATGTTGGAGCTATCATTCAAAGACAGGTTGAGATCAACTCTCACAAAAGGAGAAGAAGCATAGTAGAAGAGAAGAGAAGAGAGACTAGAACAGAGATGAGAAATGAGAGAAGAGGTATCGACGACAGAAAGAAGAGGAAAGAAAATAAAAAATTAAAAAGATACTTAAAGTATATTAATTTTAGCCTTCAGATCAAAACTCATCAACGACCAAAATTAAAAACCGGTGATCCTACCTTTTTCTAAATGAACCAATCAGAATAAAACGATTGTGGACCTTTAGATTCAATTTAATGAATGGTCAAGATTGTGATCCGCCTACTTGTTTCTAACTGGCTCTTTCTAATCTAGATATTTCTTTTGTTTTTGTACTTTTTTGCTTCTTAATTAATGGTTTTATTTAAATTTTTGGAAGCTCTAACTTAAAAAAATAAATTGTATTTAAACTTTAGAATTAAAAATATATATATTTTTAACTTTAAGATTTTTAGTTAGAGGTTAGAGTATATAATTAACTTGGGGTATGATATATATGTCTATAGTTTAGGGTTAAGTTTTGAGGGTTAGGGTATGATATAAAGTTTGGGCTAAGTTTTGAGGTTTAGGGTTTGATGTACACCAAACTTCATATAGTATCACACTGAAATTTTTTGTAAATTTTGAAGTTATGTGATTGACTAAAATTAAAAATTAAGATTGGATGTTTTATGATATAGTTCAATATAAGGAATGTGGTTTAGGGTTAGGATTATAATTAAGTACATGATTTAAGTTTTAGAATATATTTGGAGTTTAAGTTTAAGTACATGGTTTGGGGTTAGGATTTATAATTTGTATTATAAATTTAAAAATATTAGATTTATGACTTTGTATGCAAAGGTTTAAGTTTGGGGTTTAGGGCATTAGATTTAGGGTCTAGATTTAAAATTTAGTATTTGAGATTTAGAATTTAAATTTGAGATTATATTTAAAATGTTAAAATCCTGAATTTCAATTTAAGATTGAAATTATATTATGAAAATATTAAATTTTAAAGTTTATATTTAGGGTATAAAACATGTTTAGTGTTTAGGGTTTTATTTTCTTTTTTAAACAAAAATCTAATTATCAATTTTTATCCTTTAATTTAACATTCAACGCATAAATTAAAAAAATACAAATAATGATAATTATATATTCATTAAATTTATAAAACATACAATATATTCCATCCCTACATATCCAGATTCTATACGAGAATTCTTCTCAAATGCTTGAAATAAATTCTATACTCACTCTTGATATGTCTTGTTCCCAGTCAACCACCACAGGTAGAAGAGGGATTCAACAGTTTCTGATCTTAGGATGTTCCAACACCCATGTCATGAAACAATCATGGGTTTGTGGGTTTGAACAAACTAAACAGAGAGCAATAAGCAGACCACAAAAACTTCACCAAAAGCTCCAAAATAGATCCTAATGTTACAGAGCAGACTCAAGGACAGAAAATCCAAGCAACAAAAAGATATCTAGTCGACATTCTTAGGACTCCTAAGTTAGGAGGCTCAGATGTAAGCTCGTCTTCTGCAGAATCATACACTGGAATTTTATCAACTGCGATCATCACCGTCCTCCCATACATATGTGTCCTGATGAAAATGGTTAGAAAGGGATAAGAATAAGCATAGACCATTACAATAAAGAGATTAGAGATGATAAGGACTTGCCTGAAAGCCACAGACTTGGCTCCAAGAAACCCAGAAGAAGACACTGCACCACAGAGACAACTGACTTTGGATCCTCTGTACTACTCATTTCCCTACACAACAAACACCATTAAAGCTACAAACTTTAGAACTCAATGAACAAACAAATTCATTAAGAACATGCAGTATCCTAGAAACTCAAGAAGAGAGAAAACAAAGAGCTAACTAAACTAAAACCTAACTCCACAAACAAATCACGAGACCAAAAAAAGATAGAATTGAATGGCTTACAAGCATAGAACGACCATTTAAGCTCGAGAAAAGAGAATGCGCAGAGCTAACAAACCTAAACGGCGTCGGAAGACTATTCGCCGGAATCTGAATCGTTCCACTGTCTCCGCCGAGCCGTCATCAGCCACCTCATCTCCGCAGCTGAGATTGGAATCACTGTCCCATTCCATTTGATTTTCAACCAAGGGGAAAGGTAAGACAAACCCAGTCTTCGAAACTCAGATATATGTGACGAAACCCAGAAGAAGAGGATAATTCTGATTTTGATGAAGAGCCACTCAAAGCAATATAGAGGGAGAGAGAGAGACAAGTAGTTCTCGTGATGAAATGTGACAGAAGGGAGATGTGAGATTGATGAAACCAGAATTTGTGGTATGGAGTTGGCGCTTGACCCACTGCCATGGAGGTGGGATCGATTAGGGTTCCAATTCAATAAGTGATTGTGTGAGGAATAAGGGCGATGATGTTTGACTAAAAAAAAGTTAAAAAAAAAAAAGGAGATGTCGATAGCGGAAACCCAAAAATTGGCCAAGTATTGGGCTCTAAAATAACTTTTCAGTTATAAAAGTGATTTTTGCTTTACCGCTTAATGAAATTCTTCGACAGCACAAATTTAATGCTATGATAGAATTGTGATCCGATTTTGAGATTTTTAATAGCAGTTTGTGAATTCGTGCTACCGCGAACTACTATCAATATTCATATTTCTTGTAGTGTAACGCTTTGACGGTTTATTCGCAGACGGAAGATAAAAGGCAAGTTTGAAGATAAATAGAAGATTTCCGCAGAAGAAAAGGAAGGATCGACAGATATGGAAAGTTCCCGAAATATTCGGTTTCGAGCAAAATGGAAAGACTAAAACCGCCTAAGGAGGAGTATATAAGGAGGAGACATAGGGCAGAAGCTGGGGGGACGAATTTCAGAGCTCTCATCTGAGACTTTTACAACTTTTCTACACTTAGAATTTTCCGCACTTAGAAACTTAGGCTTTTTCTCGACAAGTTCGGTTTCTATGACTAGCGCTTAATTACTAGACTAACTCGCCCAGGCAGTTCGATCTCTTGTCCAGCTCTATCAACTGAACTACGTTCGACTTGATCCCCGAAAGGGGTACGTAGGCAGCCTTTCATAAGGTTCAGTCCGAAATCATTCAAACCTTTTTTCCTATCTTTTTCCGTTTTTTTGTTATCAAGCTGCGACTCGACTAGATCTAGGGTTTTATGTTTATAACTCGCTGTTGGCCCCTGCGGCCAAAGCCTTTGTAATTCCTTGTAATGATCGCAACGCTCTTACGCGAATCGGAAATAAGATCGACTTTCTTTATAAATTCGTTTTATTATGTTTTTCATATTTTTCCGCATTTATTTGGTTACTTGTCGTTGGCTTTCGCAGAGATCCGGTTCCTCTGGAAAATTAGGGTTTTCCTAAGTTTCCTTA